TCTCTTGTTTACAAATGCTTTTTAAAACTATAAGGAGTTAGATGAGATCTCATACTAGCTATGGCCACGGAGTCGCGCCCATCTGCCATTGGATGTTAATTGATGTTTCCGAAAGGAGGCATGGGGTTTTTCTTTTATTGATATTCCAGAATGGAGCATGGGGAGACAACCTTGTCTATTGCTTAATCCAATCAACAAATGGAATGACATGAATTATTGTTAGTAATAAGTGAAGTCTTAGTAATGTTAACAGTTGAGGCGTGTGTTTAGTCAATAATTAGATTGTGTGTGCTGATTGATTTTTAGTAACATGTTAGGGATTCTTTGTTATAATTCGTAGCTTGTATGTACTTAGCATTGCTGATTGCGTGCTTTTGTGTGTCTCTTTCCTGGTCATGGCCTTCGCCCTTCAATGACCCTGTTATAATCCAATTTTTACACTTGTAATATTGGGGAGCAGATTAATCACAGGTTTTTACATAATCAGAACTTACATCAAGGTGGTGGGATTTTGAGTGGAGTGTTGGATATTTCCACAGTTTATTACATTTCATAAGTTTGGATTTAATTAAACTCTGGTTTGATTTATTTACTACTTTTATTGGGTTTTGAATAAGGGCCTTAATGGTTCCAACTTGTAAGACTAAATTTGATTTTGATTTTTGGTTTTGAAACTTATTGATAACTAAGTTAGTTTTTTCGCTGCTAAATTCTTAACTAGCCTTAACGTTTGAACACGTGGCGGTAGCACGTCAGTAATTCTCTTGCAGATTGTTAAAGATATTTACAGGTTTTTAAGAGAGAATTATTGGGGTGTTACATACGTACATGTTTACTTTGTTGTAAGTAGTATCATGTTTAGGTACCAAAGGAGAAGAACTTAGTTTCATATGTTAGAGAACACTTGAATGGAAATTGTTTGGTTATACATTGAATTAGTTCATGTGCTTATGTTTATGAGACATGTTTTGGTTAATTGATTATATTTGTATGGAATTATGGATGCAAGCATGTTGAATTGGACTAATTGTTTGTATGGAATATTGATACAAACATATTTTATTGGATTGGTTTGATAACCACATTTGGATTAATTGAAGGAGTGGAATTGAATGGTTTAAGTGGAATGAATTTATTAATTATTCCATGAGTTTTTTTATTATTTTATTTACTACTCAAGCATGACTTGTTAGTATGTTGAGTAAAGGTGGATTAAGCCGAAATGGCTAGGTGGGTTGACTATGCTCAATAATATAATTTTGGATACTTTGGAATTTAAAGGAATTAAAGGTCAATTTGTGATGTGATCATCATTGTCCTAATTAAGATTAATAGTGATTTTCCATGAATGGTTGTGTATGGTTTAATTGAATGAGTTGGCTATTAATTAAACTTGTAATCACGTAAAGTGAAACATGGATGAGCAATAAAACTCTAGAAAGTGTGCACTTCTAAAGTATTGACAATTATAGGTTAGGGTACACGGTGGTAGCCCGTGGCTTTCCGAGGCTTGTTTGATCAACATGTCCTCTTTTCTTTTGGTATTTAGAATTATTTTTTTTATAATGATAGTTAGATGGGATCCTAGACTAACTTTGTGAGAATGGAGTCGCACCCATTCTTGCATCGCGCTATATTGTTTATTTTAAATGGTCATTTGGGACCAAAATGATTTGATGGATTGGACAACCTTATCTATTGCTTACTCCGAATTAAATTAATTAAAATAAACATAAAGAGTCAAGTGATCGGAATTGGTTAATGAGTATGTTGAGTTGATTGAACTAGTTAAGAGAGGAGTCTTGATTGATGAATTCATGTTGTATGTTTGTTTACCTTAATTAGTTGAGCATGCTAGGTTTGGTGTGTTGTAGCTTGTATGTACTCAGCTTTGTTGATTGCTGTTTTTGTGTTTGTTTTCTTTTGGTCATGGCCTTTGCCTTTCAATGACCCTGTGATGATACAATTATTACACTTGTATTATTGGGGAGCAGTATTGCACAGGTTAACTTGATGATGTGAAGTTCAGGGATTTGGCAAACACATTTTCAAGGGATTAGTGTGATTGAGAGTATTCGTTCTTTGTATAGAACTTATTTATGTTTACTATTCCGTTATGTTTTGGGATTTTGAATATGATTTGGTTTCAAAATAAGAGCCTTATATGGTTCCAATTTGTAAGCTTTGACTTATTGATTTTCTTTATTGTATTTAAATATTTAAGTTTTGATATTCCGCTTCGATATTCTGATACAGCCTTAACGTTTTAACACGTGGCGGTAACATGTCAATAGTTCTCCTCTATTTTATTTGAAGTAAGTGGTTTGGAAAAGGGAGAATTATTGGGGTGTTACATGTTCATTATGTGAAAAGTAAATGTTCATTTTAATATTAGACTCATAAGAGTATTAATTATAATCATTATTAAAAAAACAGAGTTGACGATAATATTAAACCAATTACCTTGAAATTTGGCTAAAAAAAAAAAAAAGAAAAACAAGTGCGAAAATCCGATCGACTCCTATATCAAAACCGCTTAAATGAAATCAAAAGATCTTTCAATTTGTTCATTTTCATGTTAGAGGATGTTCATTATCGTTTTATCTTAATTTACCTTTTTAAAATCAACAACATTCTTAATTGTTGTTGGTTAAATGTTCAAAATCTTAACAGTAGATTTGTATTTTTGTTCATTTGATAAAAGAATGATGTTCATTTTGTTCGAAATGATGAAAATATGCTCAGAAATGATTATTCATTCTCATAAAAGTCTTGAGAAGACCATTTGTTCCTTTTCATGTTAAAAAATGTTCATTCTTATTTTAGCAAATGATCAATTTACTTTTTTAAAGACATCAATATTATTAATTGTTTTAGGATGTGTATTTTTGTTCATTTTGTAACATGATGATCTTCATTTTTGTTAAAAATGATGAAATATGTTTAAAATTGAATTTTTATTCGTAAAAAGTCCCGAAAAAATCAATTGTTTATTTATATATTAGAGGATGTTCATTTTCATTTAAGAGGCTATAAACAAAGTTGCTGAACATTAGACTACCAAGGAAGCGGCGACAACAATTGAAGTAGCTCAACAACAAATAAAAATTGTTAAAGAAGTAATACTTGAAGCTCAAAGAAATGTTGATGAAGAAACAACAACTTTAAATGTTCATTTTTACTTACAATTAAAATGTTCAATTATATAATAATATATGATGTACAATTGTTATTTGGATTTCAAAGTGTCTATTCCTTTTACCCTTGTATTAAAATGTTCATTTTTATATGTTGTATATAATGTTAATTTCAATTTATAAATATTTGTTTTTTCTGACTTGGAGTTCCTTTTCCATTTATGAAAATGTTAATTAATAATTAATGAAATGTTCATCGAATTTTCAGATAATCATTATTAGTTTCAATGTTTGTTTATTTCAAAATATGTTCAATCACAAAATGTTCATATATTTTATACTAAGGTCTTGTTTAGTTCACTTTTTATTTTTATTTTTTTTATCTGATCTAATCTTGTTTGATTTGATCTGATCTGATTTGGTCTGATTGTCTGATTTGACCAAATTTTAACCTTTTGTGTACGATAATTTATAAAGAAGAAATATATCATGTGGGATTTTGTTAGATTTGTATTTATGTGTATTTTATTAATACTAGAATGGCTAACGCGGGCGATACGCGCGCCATAACTAGTAATATGTGGGAAGATCTTTTGGTTAATTGGCCTTACGTCACAACTTTATTTGTTAGTAGCATTAATCAGGGAACATATGTAATAAATATTTTTAGGGGCATAAATATTCGCACACTATTCTTAAGAGTTAAAAAAAAGAGCTAATCAACAATAATGGGGGTAATCAAGTATAAATAAACATTTTAGAGGTTATAATTGTCCAAACACTATTCATAAGAGTCATCTCATACTTTTTAAAAGGTAGGGATGTATTTATTATAATTTTTTTTATTACGTAATTAAAGATATTTAGCGATAAAAAACCGCACATAAAACGATGATCTCATCTGAACTTATTTTTCTAATCTGATTTGAATTGTTTCTAATCTGATCTGAACTTAATTTTTTTTTTTTTCTAAAATAAGTAAAAATAAGTTGAATTAGCACAAGGCCTAAATGTTTAATTTTCAAAATGAGTTGAATTAGCACATAAAACGATGATCTCATCTGAACTTATTTTTCTAATCTGATCTGAATTGTTTCTAATATGATCTGAACTTAATTTTTTTTCTAAAATAAGTAAAAATAAGTTGAATTAGCATAAGGCCTAAATGTTTAATTTTCAAAATGAGGGACTTGCTAAAAATTTGCGGTACCGTGTCTGGTGGATTGTACCAATTGGACCGTGTTTTAGGAGTCAAAATGGGCTGGGTTAGAAAATCCGGACCCACGGTTGAACCTAGGGGTGCTAATTGAGTTGAGCAGCTCACGAGCAACTCGAACTCGACTCAGTCAACGCTCGGTCAAAACTCGACTCGAGATGTTTACAAGCACGAGTTGAGCAAGCTTTAACTCGACTTGATAAGCTCGTGAGCAACACGATAATATATTTTATTAATATAAAATTTAAAAACAAAGTTACCATGTTTAAACAAATTAGACACTTGAGGAATACAAATTAGACACTTAATAAGTGTTAATTTATATTATCAAAAAAGAAAGAGTAAATTTTTAATAATAAATATATAGAAAAAGAAAATAATATAAAGTGAACAAAAAAAATAAAGGCATATAACTATAGAAAGGCTAAAACTTTAACGAGCAGATAGTGAGCTACTCGACTCGACTCGAAATTTTAACGAGCACGAATTGAGCATATTTTATTAGCTCGAAACTTTAGCGAGCACGAGTTGAGCACATATATATAGTTTTCGAATCGAGTCGAGCACCCCTCAACTCGTAATAGACTCGCTCGATTAGCACCCATAGTTGAACCAATGCCTTAATCGGGCTGGACCCGTCCACTAGTCGTGCGAGTCAGGGTGGGGCGTGCGCAACCCAGCCCGTTGGCCACCTCAGTATAACCATTGATACCACTGTATTTAGATCCGTAAATGCTTATCAGCGTGTCATTAATCTACAATAATATCTTCTTGTTTAAAAAAAAATAAAAAAAAATAAAAAAATTCTAACAATCTTCCTAACTTGTTCCTAGTTCCTACGTTTAACGTTTCCATATTTTTTTCTGGAGTTTTTCACTTTTATACGCTACATCCCCTTTCTCTCTCTCTCCATTCCACCGCGTACTCTGAATTCTCCATTGAAGCAGTTTCTGAGCCTTTTTCTCCTCCATTGTAGCAGCTTCTGAGGTATTATGTTTGTTTTTATTCATCGAATATCAATTTCGCATTCTAGGGTTTATCGTTTATTTAATTGTTGGTAAATTCAATTTAGGGTTCTTAGAAGGTGGATTATTGAACTATTGGCTATAATTACTGAAGTTATGAAAGATTATGATGATTGATTTTGTTGCTATGGATCATGCTATGCGCAATTTATGCTGCTGCGAGAAGAAATTAATATGATTTGTGGAGGCTAATTTGATAATTAAGTCAAATTTGGTTGTTAATGTGTTGCAGGCTGTTGTTTATAACCCTATATTGTAGGACGGAACTATGACAATGGACCTATTTTCCCTGGGCTCGGGGCGGTTGCGCTTCCTGCCCCAGCTTTGGGACGGACCTGCTTTTTTGTGCTGTGTGATGGTCCTTTATCCATTTTCCCTTCTGATTAAGGGTCTAAAATGAGCTACCTTTGCTCAATTATAGTTGTAGTGGTATATGTAGCTGTCTTTCTCACCCACATTGATGGATTGGCTGTTTAGGTGTTAACTTTACGATTTTATAGAACTTTTCAGTGGTTGTTAATTATTTTGATACCATTCTTGCTAGCCAATCTAGTTGTTTGCTGCTAGCCGGCTAGTAATGTGGACCTGGTACTGTTGTAGTTACCCCTTGGGAGATATTTTATCTGTTGAGAATTGAAGCACCCAGGAGGCTTGGATTCTGTAGTCTTTATTCAATGTTTTAAAGGGTATTTGTCGCATAAGTTGCAATATGTCTTGCGATAATTCACATATTTGTAGATGTGTTTAAGCATCTATTATTGGCCAGACTTGTATGCAGAACAGTAGATTTATGCCCATTATTCACACTCTATTCTCTTTAGATGTATACTTAAATTTCATATGCAGTTGATAACAAGGTGAGAGATGAGTTGATGTTTATGCTCCCTCCTTCGGAAAGGAACATTTTTCTTTTTTGGCCAAATGGCCAGTGCGGAGAACTTTTGTTGATTAGTTAGTTGGTGTTTTTTTCTTAGTGATACTTGTATCTTAGAGAAATGTGATGGGTATATGTGGGCTATCAGGATTCCGCTGGAGGGACGGCCGTGTCATGACAATTGGTTCTTGGTTCATCATGGGCATAACAGTGTGTTTGTGCATCCATTACAGGAAAGTTTTGCAAATATCCTGATCCTCATGCCAAGAGCCTTGCAGGGTTAACTTCAGCAAGTGACACAAGAAATGGATGGTCGCTATGGTCTTCAGCATGGATGGGAAAATAACAGCGTAATTGTGGTTTCCTTTTTAATCACCTATATGGGATATGGGATGATAATACAAGAATTAGGGCTCATGTGATTGTCCATTATTTCTGGCATCTCATCCTTAAAGAGCAATGAGAGAAAGCCGTGGACATTGAGGATATGGAATGATTTTGCCTGTCTTGTACCATGACTGTTTCTTGCTGACATAACTTATTCTCTTCACTCCACAGGCATTGGAGGCATATGGTGCTGTCCATGAGCCAAATTATCGGTGAGTGAATAATTGGTGCTTTTACATGGGAGTAACACGGTGCCATTTTTACTTTATCTGCTTTTACTCTTTGTTTGCAACTGCTAAGGGTTGTGTTTGGCTGTCACACTCTTTGATTCTTTGACACTCTGGCTTATTTTTTGCTTGATCTACAGTTGTTTTGCTTGGTTGTAGTGTTTAATGTTTTATTGTGGGTAATTTATATGAAGAAAAATGATAGATAAGACGTCAAGTGGGAATTCTTAGTGGGCAAGGATAGTGATTTTTTTGGTACTCATACTCTAGAGGAATGCAACATATGGTTGGAGCTCTTTATTTAGGTTTCTTAAATATTGAATAATATTGGTTCCTCGGTTTAACCCTTTTTTTTTTTTATTTTTTTTTTTATTTTTGAAATCATAATGAGCTTGTTCTCATCCCTTTTATAATTCAATATTATAATTTACTGTTTTCTCTCCTTCCGCTCATTATGCTTCCTTGGCGGGGTTGGCAGTGGTTATGATGACAGGAGATTTTTAGATGAAAGGTACCCCAGGGAAAGTGCATTCTCTAGGAGTGCATTCCATCGAGATGTTGAGAGAGAGAATTATGCGGCCCCTCCACCAGTTGGCCTATGGCTTCAAGCAAGACGTAGAGGTTATGAAGAAGAGTATCCCCTTGAAAGGGAACCTAGAAGAAATGACAAGCCATACCTTGAGCCATATCATGAGGTGGAACATTTTCGTGATGGTCACAGGTACAAGAAATTGAATACATATGACGATGTAGGTAACATTAGAATTGTCTTGCTTACTGCCGAAATCATGGATTTCGCAGGGCTGGAAGATTTGGAATGCGTGAGCGTGATGATTATGCTTTTGATGATCATGATTTTAGGCATCGTAGAGACGACAGTCGTGAGAGGGATTATGATTATGGCAGGCATAGTCATGATTCTGATTATGATAGAAGTAGAAGGGATGAAAGTTGGAGACGGCGTGGTTCACGTGATAGGGAACGTGATAGGAGGGATTTGAGCCATGAAAGGGATTTAAGCCCTTATAAAAGGGAATCACGCTCTCGATCACGGTCTCATGGTCGCGATGATCGATCCAAATCAAGATCTCCCCGAGGTCGTAGTCGTGGACGTAGCCGTGGTCGCAGTCATCATGATGATAGTTATGACGATCGATATGATAGGATGGAGAGACGAAGAGATCGTGATGAAAAACGACAAGAGGTATATTCTCCGGCATGTATTATTAGAAAACTGGTCTGTATCTTATTTTTCTGTCTTTTGAAAGTGGAGATGCTAATGGTGTTTTGTTTCTGCTAGATGCCTTCTGCTACTGTGGTCGTAAAGGGTCTCTCACAGAAGACCACTGAAGAAGATCTATATCAAATTCTTGTATGTCTGTCTTTTCATTTCAGGTTTCTGACTGTATCATCTTTTTACCTTGTATATGATACTCAACTGATTGATCTCAATCTCCTATAATCAGGCTGAATGGGGGCCTCTTCGCCATGTTCGAGTCATCAAGGAGCGGAATTCTGGCATTTCCCGTGGATTTGCTTTTATCGATTTTCCATCAGTGGTTGTAGCTCTTTCCATTATTGTGTTCTGAGCCTTTATTCTTGCTATTTGTTTAGATTGACTATAATGTGAGTCTGGTTTCACAGGATGCAGCACAGGCAATGATGGATAAGGTAGGATTAGAAGGCCTTGTGTTAGATGGAAGGAAGCTTCTGTTTGAGTATAGGTATGTATAATGTTTCTGGTTTGACTGTCATTTGCTTGTGATCTTTTGATGTGATTAGCCGTGCTTTCTTGAAGATATTTATGCATCTTGTGATCTAGTCCCTCTCTCTCCCTCTCTCTCTTTTTTTTTTTTTTTAAATAATTTTTGTATCCAGTTTCCTTTTTGAATGTTTATTTTTAATGTACTCACTTTTATATTATATATTTTAGAAATCAGACGCACTGCTTTTACTCACATACAATAGTTTTTAATTATCACTTTCACCTTTAATGTCATCTCTCCTAAATTTTTAAGCAGCCCTTGCTAACACTGAAAAAGCAAATGAGTGAAATAATAATAGTAAAAAAAATAAACGGAGGCAAGAGATTGGTACTAAGACTACTAACTGAAGTTTGGTTATTCTATGGTTTTGCATGTTAATAATTTACCTAGGAAGGTCGCTAATTTGGTTAGTTCTGTTTTGACTGTATTTTAGCAAGCATGCTTAATTTATCTGAAAAGCACGTTATGGTGCAGTAGCAAGCCAACTGGAAGTTCAGGAGGGGCACCTTATGGACAAGATGGTCTGAGGTCCTCTCATGCCAGCCATAGAAGTACCATACCCTCTGATTGGATGTGCACAATCTGCGGGTGTGTCAATTTTGCTCGTCGAGTCTCATGCTTTCAGGTTGGTTTTCTTCTTTTGTTTCATTGGTTGTACTAGTTCGTTAGCCCGTTTGACGAACCGGTTGGTTGTAGGTAATTGAAGTCTGATATAAAAGTTACAATCTTGTAGATTGCTAATAAAAAAACCCTGGAAGTTACAACTTTTCATCTTTCGAATTTGACATATGGAAACATTGTACTTCCTCCTCCCTTTTTAAGTTGACATAGACATTTTTAAATCACGTTTGCCAACACATAATTTTAACAATTATTATCTCTAGTCAAATTAGAGTTTGTGAATAGTGTGAAAAGTTGTGTCAACTAAAAAAGATCGGAACCGACTAAAAGATAGTCATCACTTGAGCTAAATTAATAATTAATAATAAACTTAAAAAATAAACTTAGAGCAACTTGTGAATGTTGGCAGCTAATTTTATACACTATTAATGTATACCCTCCGGCTAAAGATACTACATCTCAACTTCACAACTTCCTTTGAAGCCAACTTCTAATGTCCGAGATTGAAATCAATTTAGTCCAAATAATGCCTAGGCTGCTCACTGTGATTCATCCAATATCATTTACTACCTCCGTTTCATATTTTTTTGCAACTTTGGAATATTTTATATCTCACAAATAATACCCCAAAGTTGCAAAAAATATGAAACGGGGGTAGTATATAAGTCACCATCACTTATGCTTTAATTATTGATGTAAATTTTATTTTTAAACAAAGTAGAGAATTTGGTTCACCTTTGCCAAGGACTTTTGAAATACAATAATTTAGGATATTGAACTTAATTAAAGAACCATTTCAAAGGAAGATGGAGACGCACAAATATGTGACATCAATCATAGTTATCATGAAGAGTAATTTCCAATGGGACCCCTCTTGGACGAAATTCTCAAAATAACCCTGAGATTTTGAAGTTGCCTGTGATGCCCTCATTGGCAGCTTGCTCTCTCCCTTAGTCCTATCCACCTCCTTATTAGCGTCCTTACTCTTCCAAAATCCCAACAGTTGCTACTCTTTACCCCCACCACCTATCATTTGCCGCAAAAAGTAAACTGTGAAGAATAGGTACAACCCCAATTGATATATTATAGCCGTCAAAACTCAAAAGCTGCAAGAAGCTGATCAAAAGTTGCAGCAAAAATGAATTGAATTCGAGGAGTGATTTTTGCTATGATAGAAAAAAGAGACCTTTGAGATTTGGGTAGAAAAAAATGTACGTAGTAGATGTTTCAAATTAATAACTCAAAGATGAAGTTAACTATACCTCGATTTCTCTCTCTCTCATATATACTGCATAGATAAGCTAGGTCTAGATAAGGTATATCAGTAAACTATTTGTGGTGTGTAATGGTTTGAAGAGTTTTAGGGTGAATTGTGTTTTACTGTTTGTCATGTTCATTATGAAAAATTTGCATCTATCTTTTTGCTATATGGGTTGAATCTACACCTACTTAGCTTGTAATTTGGCAAGAACATCATTAGGGATAGTTTGTTTTGCTCGATCAAAGTAGTCACAATCCTAGCACTTGTAATGTATGTTGTATGGAACTTGGGGGTTAAAAGGGTTTCAATATGTATCGGAGAGGAAGAAAAAAGATATTTAAATGGAGTTGGAGCTCATAAAATAATATAGCAGCACTCGACTTTACTTCACAAGTAATTATATGATTTGGGGGTGGATGCATTTTCAGAATTTGGCAAGAACATCATCAGGGATATATTCACAATTGTTACACTAGTAATATTCATGATCTCCAATGTGCATACTTGTTACACTAGTAATATTCATGATCTCCAATGTGCGTACTAATGTCTTCAACTCCGACAGTCCCAAGCCTAGATAAAGGAGGAGGGTTACGGTAGGCCAGTGGCAGCCAACGTAAAACTTTGTCATATCACATGTCATGAGCCAAAATGTATAAGTGCAAATGTAAATAAATAAATAAAAAAAAAAAAATAAATAAATAAATAAAAATGAAAATTTACATTAAGACAAATCTAACAAGATCTCACAAATTGATTATTATCTTATATTTATATTTTATAAAAATATGGTTAAAGTTATTTGTATTTGTGAAATTCCCAAAGTATAATTGGTATATAAATAATTGTATATATCAATGGCATCCTTGTAAATAAGTGTGAACTTTTCATTCAATTTCCTATGTACTACATTTGGTTTCAAAAGCACAACATTTGGAGTTAAAAGTTTGTTTGGTTTCAAAAGTATTACATCTACTCTTAATTGTTCAGCCTATTTTTTGCCCTTAATGAATATCCCAATATGCCCTTGCAATATTCATCAAAATTACCAACATAACGCATTGCATACATATATTTTTTGGTATATTGTTGATATGTACCGGATGCCCTTTGTTTTTATAAATATATTTTTTTTTTACCACATAAATAAGTGAGTCAAACTTTCAGAAACATTAGTTATAGCTAAAAACCCAAACCTCAGTTTGGGTCAATTTTGAGAACTTCGTCAAACTTGTTATAGATTGGAAAATTAGAAGTATAGAAATATGGAAGAAAAGGAGAGATTGAGGGAAAATGATAGTGGACTGTAATGTTGATTCAATAAATCACCATCATCAGTGTTTACAATCCCAGCTTTAGAGTTGTTGGACACTAACCAAAGCTATGCAAAATACATCTCTCATAATTGTTAATCATATTCCCTAATGTGCACTATCTATAACATTCCTTCTCTAACTAACTTATCTTCCTCAAGATAGTTTCATATTGCATTAATGCCGCTCTCCATAGGAAATTTCCAAAATTGGAGTCTAAAATCAATTAAAATTGAAGGCTAAATTTGGGAAGAGAGAAGGAAGCTAATCTGTGAATTAAAGGGTAGATGAATGTATATGATATTGAATGTGATTAAGGCTGGAAAGTTGATGTGGAGGGTGCAGTGGGAGGTTTTCAGGTGGAAAAATCTGAAAATTAAACAGGAAATGATGGGAATTGATTATTGGGTACTGGGGAAGATGAAGTGGGTTGGGTTCTTTGGCGGCGCACTAATTCTGTATATTTTTTCAACATTTATAAAAGGATAGGTTGGTAGGGACACAAATCCATCATGGTTTACTTTTCTAGTTTGCTATATGTATATTTCTGTGAAGAGTTGTGACTTGTGAGTACCCTTGTTGCATGTCATGTTATATTCTGGTGCTGGTGGTGTAGCTTTCATGATTGATTCACCTCTAACCTATATTTAGGATAAGTTTTCTGGCCATCTGGTGCAGTATTGTTATACAATTGGACATACCCTTGACATAGAGATCTGTTGCTGAGCAGAGATACTGCTATGTAGAAAAAGGATTTACTTGTTTTCTTATATTGTGTGTCCTCCACACCCTTACTCATACTATTTTGGATGTCAGACCTCAAGGAATTGCCAAATTTAATGTCTACAAGCATAGCTATTTTAGGAAAGTGGAGAGCTTTATTCTCTCTAAACTAGTAAACCCATGTTTTCTAAATGCAGTGTAATGAGAGCCGAACTGATGATGCTCCACCAGCTGACATGTCATCTTCAACTCCTGCACAATTGGGTAGAAAGGGAGCTGAGGCAGGTTGGTTGCTGTTGCAAATCACAGGTGTTGTACTGTTTAGTTACCATGATTTTGATTGCTGACTGAATATATTGATAGGGCCTACTCATGTTTTGGTTGTACGTGGATTGGATGAGAATGCTGATGAGGAAATGCTTCGATATGAGTTTTCTAAACATGCTCCAATCAAGGTATTGACATGATTGGATGGATACTACCTTGTTTTGATATTTTTTTTTTAAATTCTGATTGTCCTATAATTCTCGAACTTGAGTTGCTTATAAAACAGGTTTTGTAATTTTGCAGGATCTTCGTCTTGTTAGAGACAAATTTACCCATGTCTCAAGAGGATTTGCATTTGTTCACTTCTATTCAGTATGTCTTTTGGATAACTTCGTCTATCTGTGTTTGCAATAATAATATAGGAAAAATACACTTTAATAATCCCAATTATGAGCGATTTACTTCCAATAATCCCAACTAAGGTTTATTTTTTAATAATCCTAACTATGGAGTCAGTTTGCCACTAGTAGTCCCAACCGGTCATCAACCTAATATATCAGGTTGCTTTGACACGTGGCATCACGTGAGTGGTTAAAAAAATAATTAAAAATAAATAGAAAATAAATAAAAAGTAAAAAACTGAAACTTTTTTTTAAAAAAAACCTCTCCTCCCTACCAGCCACCCCCTCCCCCTCTAGCCCAGCCGGAATCCGCCGCCACCTCGCCGGGAACCTCCCCTTCCCCTTCCATCCCACCGAAAACAACCTGATCACTACTAGTATTGATTATCTTTTCTTTGGGACTTACTTGAACCACCTCCATCTTCACCTCATGTATTTATAAAGGCAGTCACATCTTGATCTTGGGTATTATCGGAATCGTTGACATTATTATCCAGCTGGTCATGTTGATCTGAATCACAAAGGGTCAATTTGGGGTTCATGTTGGATGAATGAGCTGCTACATTGCTTGTGGGGTTTCGAATGGGAGAGTTGGAGTTGGTGATACGATCCCAATTCTCGGAATTAACCTTGATCAATTGAGGCTCATTGGTTGAGCTGACCTCCTTGAGTGGTTCAGATCTCGTCTTCTTGAGCACCTTAGTCGGAGATCTAATATTGTGATTGAAATTAGAAACAGCACTCGTAGGATCGGAAATGGGACTGATCTCTAGGACCTGCTGCTGCTGTTGCTGTTGTTTGGCAATGACGACTGCAGTAGTGGAAGTTGAATTCCAGATTTTTCGCTTTCCGCCCAGGAGCTTGGAACTTATTTCTGGGTGATTGATGATGCCATTGCCAGTAGCTCAGCCAACCTTGACTCGGTGGATGGGGCCGGAATCGGGGGTAAGGGAATGAATGGGGCCGGATTCGAGGGTGGGGGAAGGGAATGCGGCCGGAATTGGGGGAAGAAGGAAGGTAGAGGACTTAAATCGTGGGAGGGGAGGGGAAAGGGGGGCCGGAATGTGGCGGTTTCCGGTGAGGAGGATGGCTGGGAAGAGGGTTTTCTTTTCTCTCTCTCTTTTTTTTTTTTTCTTTTTTTTTTCTTGACCAATAGAAATGCGACACATGTAATTAAAAAAAAAATAAAAAGAAATTTAACCTGCTTATCAAGTTACTGGTCATCCGGGCTAATGGAGGCAAACTAATCCCATAGTTGGGATTATTAAAAAATAAACCTTAGTTGGGATTATTAGAAGTAAATCGCTCATAGTTGGGATTATGAAAGTGTATTTTTCCAATAATATATGCCTTCATGGTTCACGCACTTCTTAAGGCATAATTTTGTGCCAATGAAATTTTTTATTTTGTGATATTGAGAAAGACTATGTTCTTTTGTTGCAAGTGGATTGTATGCCCTTTATGCTATGCTGATTTTAGAGTTTTGACAGATTCTTTAGTTTTTGTTAAATTTAGAGATTTGTGATTTTGTGGATATCAGTCTATGGCTGCTGAATTTGTTATCATACAGTTTGATGTTTCAAATTCAGTGGTGACTTGTTGAACAGGTTGAGGATGCCACTAAAGCCCTTGAGGCAACAAATGGAACAAACCTAGAGAGAAATGGTCAGATTCTACGTGTGGCATATGCAAAAAGTATACTTGGTCCTGGTTTAGGTTCCTCAGCGCATTCACAATCAAGTACTCTTGCTGCTGCTGCAATTGAGGCAGCAACATTTGCTCAGCAGGTAGACTGTTGCTTTTAAACTATCATCAATAAAATTTGATTGATCATGAGACTAGCACTGTGGTATTAGCCTAAAATGTACTCCCTACATTCCATAATAATGTGACCCCTTTTCTAATGTATATGTTCCAGATTAGCTTGCCCCTTTCTATATAAGGATTGCTTCACTACTTTCTATAATCTCTCTCCTTTCACTACCAAAAGATTAGGTTGCCACATCCTCTCATTCAATTAAAATAATTCTCTAATGTATCCCTATCATGATTCCCAAGAACAAAAGCAAAAACAAGGTTCACATAAGTTCATGGTTCAACACATTCTTTTTATCAAAATAACAATTGATAATTAATCAAACTACAGCTTTTCACCTAAACCTATGTGCCTTAACATAGGTGCATAATATTATGGGACAACTCCCTCAGAATGTCAATGCTTCAATTATTAGAAAAAAGGTCTCTTTTCCTTTGTGGTGTACATTATTTGTAATATCATGGTTCCTCATCTCTTCAGTATTTGTGTTATGCTTAATATATATGGTGCAAAATTTACTTATAGATGATGGACATATGAACATCTCATGTAAATTAGCAATTGAAAGTGGTCCATGCTGCTCTATGCAGCTTTTAAATTTGGATGAAATGTCTGTCAGACTGTCACCAAACTCTTTTTTATTCTTTTCTTTGAAGAGTTTGTGACTGCAAAAGTGCAAAGCCAATGGTTTGTATGATTGGATGAGCTGAAATTCTTGTGATACACATTTTTACCTCCCAAAAAAGTGCTCGTTGGTGGAAAGACCGAGCTACTTTCCCCCCTAACTTTTCATCTGCATAGCTCATTGCTAGTTTTGATCAGGATTTCTTTGAAACAAAGGTCCTCCGATGAAAAAAAACAGTTTTCCATGTGAGGGGCCCGAGGGCCAAGGAGTTTTCTTTCTGCTCTTTGAGAACATTTTTCTTTGCTTTTGAAGCATTTCAATTAGTTTCCTTTTACTCTGCATGCAAAGTAGTTTGATTTTTTTTTTTTTTTTTAATAATAATTTTTTATACCATGCAATAGCTCTTTTAAAGCACTTATTCTTGCTTTGCTTTTGTTTAGTATGATGCCGTCGGTTGGGCACCCAAGGAATATAATCCAGATGACAGGCAACCAGTTGGCATCCAGGAGCAAGGCACAGAGGTTGCTGGTCGAAAAGAAGGTTCTGCTCCTCAAGCTGGCTTTGTGTGGGATGAGGCTTCAGGATACTATTATGATGTTTCCTCTGGCTTCTACTATGATTCTAATACAGGTTTGTTTCATTACGATGCTCAGTCATGCTTTTTTGCAAGGGCTGTACTGTGTTTTCTTTTCTTTGGAACTGTATTTTGTGTAGGCCATTCTTCTGAAAACTGAGTTTTAAAGACAACTGAAACAGTTAAATATTCGACTGTAGTTGGTTAAAGGGCCTGAGATTGATTTATGTATTGGTTGTGTAGGGTATATCTAGGGAAGAGAAAATTTGAGCGGGTAAGGTTGCACATGGTTACCATTTTAATGGCAATATGGCTTTGCTTGCTGTGTTCAGATGATTGTTCAACCTCTGGCTTAAAGTATAGGGTTAGTCCACTTAGATACCAATATTACCAAATATATGGATTTGGAAAAATTGAAAATCAGAATCCAATACTTAAATACCGGATGTTTGGCTCATTACTTTGACTGTAAAATATCTTCTCTATTTTTCAGAAATTTTGTGAACCAAACATTAATTATGATTCTGATTCATTGTAACCCTATGTGACTATGCCTGTTACCTAGAATTGCTGAACCATTTGGCCATAAAGATGGTTCTTAGAGTACGGAGTTTATTTTTTGGTGTCACTGATATTGATGTTTTAAGAAGTATATATGATTGCCTGAATGGAAAGTTATAATAAATTTCAGGGACAGTTGGCTAGTATTACTACATGTATTATCAAAACTTTGTGAATTATCTTGATGGTCTTAAATTTTCAGGTCTATACTATGATGGCAACAGTGGGGTATGGTATTCGTATGACCACCAAACCCAGCAATATGTCCCTTGCGTTGATCAAAATGCTAACAAGACATCAGAGAAAGAATCAGAAACTCCTAAGGCAGAAAACACCACTACTAGAAAAGTGGTGATCTCTGCTCCTGCAGCTACAGTAAAGTTGAGCGAGAAACCTGCTTCTCTACCTGATGCTGTTCAGGCAGCTGCCTCCGCTGCATTAGCTGCTGAAAAGAAAGAGAAAGAGAAGTTAAAAGAAATAAAACTTGCTTCCAAGAGCAGCATTGTAGCTAACAAAAAGAAAATGAATCATGTTTTGTCAATGTGGAAGCAGAGGAGTCATGAAGGTCAAACACCCCGCATAGCACTGGATGATAGTCAATCTAACGTAGCTGAGGACCGTCAAAACTCCATTTCCATGTCCTTGAAGACAAAAGCAATGGGTTTGAAGGAGAATGTGAATGCTTGTCCTGGTTTTCTCTCAGATACTTCAGCTGCTCAGGCTACAGTCTCAGAGTCTGATGTTAAGCCTCGTCCTGTGAGCAACAGCTCTGGAGGCACCTTAATGGGAGTGATTAGATCTGGAAAAGGGGTTATCAAATCTGATACTGTTTATCCAGGAATGACTAGTCTCTCCACTCCATCATCATCGTCTGGATCGGTTGCCGTGGCTGCAACACATTCTGATACACAGATAGGGTCGACCTCGTTTAGAACTGATATCTCTGCCCTTGGCAACTATACACCACCTGCAGCTTCCGCAAGTGGAAGGAGGAAGTTTTCTGAGACACCTTTGCAGTCTATATCTGCCCAGAGAGAGCTGCATCAGACAGCATACCGAGACCGTGCTGCTGAGAGACGGAGGATGTATGGATCATCAGCTTCTTATGTTGACGATGATCCGGAGTTGGGAGATCCAGGTAAGCTTTGACTATTTTTTATAGATCTGTCTTATTGCCTCGGTTTCTCAATAATCGTTCCTATCTATACAAGTAACTTAGAAGAGTTTAAAAAAGATAAAAGGTTAGGATATAGTAATTAGTTTTGATGGTGTGTTGATTATTTAGCTGTAGCAATTTTGAATAATACCAAAAATGGAATTTGGACAAGCATCATGAAACAGAATTACTATTTGCCTCTGGTTATATTTGGCTATTATTATCTGTTATCCCAAAAGATCATTGCCTGTGCTTTCCCTTTGCTGTATGAGAGAGTGTGGGTTACACTTAGAAATCATCCTGGATTGTTGAAAAACCGTTGCATACCTGTGTTCACCAGCTAATTTGAACCTTCTCCCTGTATTGATTTGTGCGGAAATGTGTGTTTACTTATGAATTGGCAAGATCAAGATGTGGGGTTCAGAAAGGGTGCATCAGATTTTAGTTCCATGCCGTTTCCACCTGGTGTTGGTGGCCGTGGGACTGCTGACAACAATGTACAGAATTATGATGTGATTCCATCTGACAAAGCCATTGATGAAAGCAATGTTGGTAATAGGATGCTTCGCAACATGGGCTGGACAGAGGGATTGGTATTGCTCTTTCCTTATCTGCATGATTATTATTATCTTTGTTGAAATTACTATTTCATGCTTGTTTCCTACAGATATAGTACTCAGCATTATGTGTTTGCAACCTTAATATATGTTTCTCTCTTCAATATCCCTTGTAAATTGCTACTACACTCTAGAAGTATCTGCAAGGAAAATGCTTCGGTGGTCAGCTTTTGTTGTGGAGTGGTTGAATCCCAACTTACTGACACTATTTCTGGGTATTGGCTGTCCTTGTTCCTGTTTTGGATATTGTACTATATGCAGGGCCTAGGGAAGGATGGTAGTGGGATGGTGGCGCCTGTTCAGGCAGAGTCATTTGACAACAGGGCAGGTTTGGGAAGTCAGCAGAAAAAGGTAGACCCAGGCCTAGAAGTGCACCCAGGAGATAGCTACAAAACTTTAATCCAAAAGAAAGCGCTGCAAAGATTTCGTGAGATGTCTTGAATGCAAATCCTGGAAGAAGTTGAGGAAGCATGCAAATTTGATGCTTGGATATGGAAGGGCAAATTCTATTTAATCATGGAGCACGAGTTGCTCTCGTCCGGTGACTTTCATGCATTTTTTTTCGAGGGTTGTCATCATTTGGCTCTTTGTATAGAACTACAAACTTTTATTATTATGGGAATCTGTTTTAATATTGATTTACTAGAGGAAGTGTCAAGTGGCTTTGTTCTTTGGTTTTAGTCTTGAGGATTTAGATATTCATAAGAATTTTCCCCTTTTTATTAAAGAAAGCAAAAAATTTAGCTGTTTAACAAGCGAGCCAATAACTTATTCTTGATTCAGGAAGAATTTCATAATATGTACTTGCCTTTTACTTTCTTAAAATTTGAATACTTTTAATTCGTCAATGGTTTCGATCCAGTTATGTGCAGATTCATTTGTTGTCGCAACCCAATATTTTGGTTAACCACCGTCCATTCTAGGTGTCTAATGGATTGAGTTGCTGCACTGTTATTAAATATGATCGTTAAGTTTGTGTATGTATGGTGATAACAATAGCTTTGATATACTTTTAGAGTTCCTGTGAAGTTGGCCTCTGTAATCAGGAGAAGGAAACGATTAATCACTTTGTTGAATTTTGTGATCTCTAGGCTTTTGATAGCTGGTTTACGAGGCATTTTGGAAATGAGTCTTTTCAAATGAAGGCCTCTGTATGTGAGCTACAATGCGATTATGCAAAAGATTGAAACAAATTGTAAGGTGTAACAATTTTCTCCCAATGGACAGTACATTTACCTGATAAATTTTTTTTCTAAAGTCTGGAAAGCCCAAGTAAAATGACCTATAAAAGCATGAAATACATTCAAAGAGAGTTGGATTCTAACATCCTACGGAGTAGTAGAGTACCTCTTAAGTTGTCGATGACTTCATCAACTTACGAGCATCTCAATAGACAAACGAACATCTCCTATTGTGACTGTCGTTGTCATCTCTGGAGTGCCGCTATTTGCAACTTGGAGTCTTGTCTTGTCGATGTCAATACTTAGGCTTGATTCTTCTTGATTGCAGGCTGAGTGAGCTTGTTTCTTTGTTGCTTTATGTTTGCGTTTGGCAGAGAGCTTTTTCTTTGAGCTTCTGGAGGTGAGCTTTGAAGAAATGCAAATGTTTCTTGGGTCTTTGGACTTGCTTCACTTTTATCAGCATTAGCTTTTGTTGTAGCTTGAACAAGCTTCCATTTTGACTGGGTGCTTGCTTTTGCATTGCAACAAGGTTCGAGGGACCATCTTTGATTTTTCTTTTGTGGCGAGGTGTATCTTTGATGTTGCCTTATCCTGCAGCTTCATCACTCGCATTTATGGGTTTTTAATGCGAGGTTGTGTCTTCAATGTTGCTTTTTTGTTGTGGCTCCATCACTTGCATGCCTTATAGGAAGTGATTTTTTTTTTTTTTTTTTTTTTTTTTTTTTTTTTTTTTTTTTTGTGGAAGTTCATGTATTACAAATGAGGCATGTCTGATCACTTGTTACAAGTAAAGAATTTATGCGAGGCATTATGATTGCTTTGCTAGCACGAAGAAATTTCATTCTGGCACTAGGTTGAAGTTGTTCATGGTGATGATTGTGAAGTTTTATTTTCTTTTTCATTCTCCCAACTTTGTGCACTTTTCTTGCCACAAAATGTATCAAAATAGCTTTGGAATTAATGAACTTCATGTTACATCCTATTTTTCTTGGGTGCCAACCACAGTGTTTTTGCTAATGGGCCAATTGTGAGTGGTGGTTGGTGTCTACCATGACACGAGCCTTCATGTCCTCTGCATCAGATTTGTGGAACACTCCGTGTTATTTCATAATGAGTCTAATACAAATAGTTACCGGAGATAATGAACAAGAATAACAAAATGATCTTACTAGACAATGGAGGAAATTCGGTGTGGCGTGATATTAATCACTAACTTGAAAACGAAATTCGGCACGACCAAAGTGCTCAATTGTATTCACCGACACGTTCTCTAAGGTTCACACACCACTCCTACACAAATGCACTTTTGGGTGAGAGGTTGGAGTTAAGTAAACTTATGTTTAAAGAATAAAGAATAATACGTGTTTAACTTTTTTGTATATATATTTTGATTATGGAATATATAGAATTCACAAGGTAAATGAAGAGATGAAGAAGCTCAAAAGATTACGTGTTTAATCAAAGATTAAGGCCAATAATAACCCATAAACATCCCATTAATCATGGGTGTTAAGAGAGGGTTACAAAGGAAGAGGAAGAGAAAGAGTCATTGGTCTGCTGACGTGCACCTGTGCCTGATTAGGCGACCCTCGCACGACTAGGTGTAATTTCAAGTTGCACGCGTGCTCGATTCAATGGGCGAGCTTCCCCTGACCGAGAAAGCAAACAACATAAATGAACTTTGCACTCGCGCCCGACCTAGCAAACAAACTCACAAGAAAAAAACAGATCGGGTCATAGTGCAACGGCTAGCTACATTTCCCCTCTTCACTCCAACACTCCTTTGTACATGGGCCTTTTTGTCCATTTGCATGATGTATCAACGCTCTAAGTTAAAACGTTAAGGCTTAACAAAATATCGCGTAAGATGTAACACTAAAATAGGATGTATTACCTCTATTTTTTTATGCTATATGACTATATCCATTCAATTTTATTATTTCAGTTTTATTTCATCTTTTATACTTCATCAGTTTTATTTCAGTTGACATATTATACTTACACATGGTTATGGACGAGAATGTATAATCAAATGTTGAACTCTTTTATTTTTATTTTTTTATCCAAAATGTTGAACTCTTTAACTTATACTTCCTCCATTCTAATAAAATTGCAACAACTTAACTATTGCACTATTCATTATTTTTGTTTGACCACATAAATATAATTCATACATTAAGTAAAATATAGTCAGTTAGGATCTTGTTAGATTCGTGTCATAATATACTTTCACAATACCAACTTTTTATAATATTTACTCTTATATAATTATAGATATTTTTTTCTTCAAAAAAAAAAAATAGATACTTGACATATAAAATGTATTTTGGGATGCGTAAATTATTGTTACAATAATATTGGAACAAAGGAAATACATTGAACTTTTATATACTACTATTTTTTTTAAGACAACTTCTATAGGAGCATATCTTTCGAAAAAGGATTTTTTTTTTTTTTTTTTTTTTTTTTTTTTTTTTTTTTTTTTTGAGCTTTAGAGTATTTTAGGCATAAAATCACAGTTACCCATGACTCCATGAGGCCACGACGAGCTAAACTTACAAGTAAGCCCGATAACAAGAATAAGGCTTTTAAAAGGCCCATCATCATTTTCACAAACACAGATCCAATACTTTAGGGTTTCTTCATTTCTCAATAAATCGGTCCATATAAAATCACTGGAAAACCCTAATTTCAGTCTTCTTCAATTCCGCAGCTTAAACCTTTCAGAGTAAAGAGAGAGAGGGGGATTGAGCTCATCGAAAATGGTTCAGTACAGGGTCAGTAATCATCATCACTTCTCTCCTTCATTTCAATCTTTCTTTTAGATCTTATCAATTTGATTAAATTTCATGAATTTTCTGGATTTTTTTCGCTGATTTCTGGGTTTTTTTGGGTTAATTTTAATGCAGTTTCATCAATACCAAGTTGTTGGGAGAGCTCTCCCTACTGAGTCTGATGAACACCCTAAGATCTACAGGATGAAGCTTTGGGCCACCAATGAGGTCCGTGCTAAGTCCAAATTCTGGTAATATTTTCTCTCTCTCTTTTTTTTTTTTTTTTTTTTTTTTGAGGTTATGAATTTGAAGGGATTTAACGGGGTTTTGTGATTTTTGTAGGTACTTTTTGAGGAAGCTGAAGAAGGTTAAGAAGAGCAATGGTCAAGTTCTTGCCATTAATGAGGTATTCTGTTCATTTTTTAAAATCATTTTGTTATAAAATTTTTGTTACAATGTTGATTAATTTTTGTTTATTAGGATATCATGTATTAGAATTTTATTTTCATATGAAGATGAATTGGTGACTTTGATTGTGTTTAGGGTTTATCCAATGTGGCTTATTTTGTGTCTTGATATGTACTTGAATTTGAATCGCCGTGTTAGGTTTAAATGTTTTTCATCAGCGGCTGGTAGATTTCTTCTGGGTTGTTTATCCCTTGAATAAATATTAGCTGATAAATGTTGTATTGTTTAGGTATTTCATTGTTATATAGTTCTTTTGTAGTTTTATTGAACAACTCGTGGAAGGTTGTTGCTTTAGACGTTCACAATTTCACATTGTTTGATAGTACGATAACATTGCTTTCTTGTGGCATGCCATTTTACCCTGTTTAATGGAATTATCAGTCGTTTCTTCTAAGATGTGATTTGATGTTCGTCAGTGTTAGGATACATTGTTAACATGTGTTTATATTGCTTGAGATGGAATGGAACATTTTAGAAATGTAGTTTGTGGTAGGGAAATTATGTACAGCTTGGATCTCTGTCGAAGAGTATGGAAGTTTTACACGATGACACTAGTTCTTAGAGGATACACTTGTGGAAAGTGAATATGAACTGAGTGTTCAAGTGAACACATATTGCCCTTTAAGGATTTTTTATATGCATTTTTTTGAGAATCAATGGAAGCACGTTATTTTCAGTTGATTAATTTTAGTTATTGTGCATCCTGTTTCTTTCTCTCATCATTTATAATTTGACCTCAGATCTATGAGAAGAACCCTACTACAATCAAGAACTACGGTATCTGGTTGCGGTACCAGAGCAGAACAGGTTACCATAACATGTACAAGGAGTACCGTGATACAACCTTGAATGGTGCAGTTGAGCAGATGTACTGTGAGATGGCTTCTCGTCACAGGGTCAGGGCACCATGCATTCAGATCATCAAGACAGCAACAGTTCCCGATGAGCTTTGCAAGAGGGAGAGCACCAAGCAGTTCCACAGCAGTGACATCAAGTTCCCAATGGTGTTCAAGAAGGTTAGGCCACCATCCAGGAAGCTTAAGACAACATACAAGGCATCAAGGCCTAACTTGTTCATGTGAGGACAGATCTCTTGTGCCGAGTTTTAGTCAGAGACCAAAATTTTGTCTTCAGAACATATTTTGAATTATTATGGTTCACTATGGTTTTATGATAGTTTGTCTTAGACAAGAAATGAGTTTCACAAGCTCTATTTGTTTTGTTTACCATCTTAAAAGATCTTACTTTGGCGATTTTCAGTTTGATTTTTGTGTTGTGGTCAAGTATTACGGAGTATGCATTAGACTTTTGTAGTAGAATCGAGTTTGTTACATACTTGCACCAATTGTTTTTGGATGTCATATGTCTCACAAAGTCTATCTTATCCTTGAGGCTAGCTGCTAGCCTTAGCATTTACTTTAAACAAGCCTTCATGGATTGAGAAGATTAACTAATAAGGGCTTAAATAGGTATTTTCAAAAGGTGCTAAACCTAGTATACTTGATTGTTATATCCTAAATTAGTAGACATAATAGGAATTCTTCTGAGATCTACTAATGCCAAGTTAATTAAATTGATTGGATTAACTTGGCATTAGTAGATCTCAACAATTATTATATTTATATGCAAACTTGAGGAATTTAGGGTTTAAGGTTTTGTGTGGTAATCATTTCACTCATTTTCAAAGTTTGAGTTTTTAATTTAGAAGATAAAAGCTCAAATGGTTCAGTGGAAGTTTGGTTCACAAAGCTCAAAGCTGTTCTTATGGGAGAGATGTATTAGAATCATATCAATAATTCTAGTTATCATTCTTATCAATGGAAAAAAATCATATCAATTTGAAATTGAACTAAACACACGGTTATTAATAATTTTAAACTCATACCATAATATGAAGGGTTTAAGCCACAGTATGGCTTCCATGCTTATACGTTTTCTACATAGATACTACTAGATTGCACAGCTGAGGAAACCCATACAAAATTAATGTATCAATATTTATATATACCAAATTTTGAAATTTCGTTGCTACCCTTACCAATATACTCTACTTAACTACTTTACCCTTAGATAAACACTTCATGTTAATCAAAGATAAACATGTATTTTCTCAAATTTCCTTAAAACGACCCATACAAAACTAAGTGAGATAAAAATACTAATGCAACATCATTAATTACTTGGTGCAACTCTAAATGCTTGCTTCATTTCCTTAAAATCTGTGCATAACCTTAATTAAAAGACTTATTCCATAAACAGCAACGGAGGGAATATTATTCAACCATTAACAAATTAACCCCTTACTCCACAAATCCACAATATGAGTTGCCAAACAGACACATCAGAAGAGCATATTGCTGTATTTACAGTGATGAAATATACGTGTAGTTCCGCACACAAAACAGGACAAACAGCCTTTCTTCCAGCAAATAACGAGTCACAAAACTGTACAGATTATATTTTTGTTGTCAGTGGGCACTATCAAATCTCAACGCTAAAGTACCATAACATTTCAAGTATCAAATGAACATTTATACCAACCTATAGGAATTGACACATAAGAGATGTTATAAGCAGCGAATTCAACCGAGGATTTCAGCAAATTCATACAGGAAAAAGAGGAGGGTGTATGTTGCTTCATGCAAGAAGGCAGGATGTACAACTTCAATTTCTTTTGTAAACATCAAGTTGTCACCAGAAGTCATCACCATTTGTGACTCCAAATACGATAGCAATTACAGACAGAATAGACTGCATCAGAAGAGGAAGATCGAGAAAGAAAATTAGTTAATAATCACAAGTAATATCCTCAATAAACATGAACACCAAGGTCCATGTCATAATAACATCTAAATGAGGTTAAATATACGATTTTAAAACGAATACGCTAGATTATCTTTTCTTACCCTTTCCTAGGTAGGGGGAACCGGGGAAAGAGGGGGGGGGGGGGGTTAGGAACTTAAGATCAGAGTTTAAAATAACTTTCAGTAGAATTATATTAATCCGATCAGTTCATCAAGACATGATTACTTAGACAACATTGTGGGAAGTACATTAAAAAGTGGAAACTAAAAAGACTTACAGCTACCATGCATGCAACAAGCCCAGGTTTCTCTCTGTAATCCACTCTGCCACAAAGTAGAATCATGGCTCCAACATACCAAGGTAAGGCCGCAAAGAGGAAACCAGAAATAAACCTTGCAAAATGAGAAGGGTCAAGATGAACATTAGAACAATAGAGAGATGTAGAACTAGAATTTAAAATTTCCCCCACGTTGAGGGTAGGACATCAAGATAATCCTCATGAAAAGGATGTATTTATCACGCAAAATATATTTTCACAGCAGGTTATTGAACTAGCAGGATCATCTCAAGCAGAAGAAAAAAAAAATAAAGGGAAAATTCTACATGGTGGCCTTCTACATTCGGATTTTCTATCTAGTGGACAATAATTTTGACCATAATTTCAAGTGACTCTGTAGAATTGATTAAGTCTATGTAGTGGCCTAATTCCACTTGAATTAGCTAACCTATTGATTTATGGCTAACCATTTGACCTTAATCAATTACTCCCTCTGTCCCTAATATTTTGCCCCATTTGACTTTTCGTGATCTCTAAGACACGTCTTAAAACAGTTTTATCTCCATTTTCATACATATAAAAATTATAAAACTAAATATCAATAAAATATACAATGAGACGAATCCAACAAGATCCGACATGATTATTTATCCCTTATAGATTAAGAGTATTTTATGGTCAATGATATTATAGTCTGACCCATATTTTGCTTAGGGACATAGCGAGTAAATCACTAACCTACCTCTTAACAATCATACTATCACCTAGCTCCACCACCTAAGCCACCAAGACCACCTAACCCACACTCGCAAGCTGAAACCCACCCTCACCACCACGAAAACCTTTACAGACCACCCCGAAAACCCCAACCACCTCAAAAACCCAGACTTGGCCTCTCCCCCAAAACCCCCCCACTCATCTCGAAAACACATACCCACGAAAAGCCCATCCAATTCAAAAGCTCAAATCTGCCACCCCGAAAATCCACACCACCCCGAAAACGCACACCTGCCACCTCTAAACTCTAACCCAGGCAACCCTGTAGAACTGAACAGCAGCAGCAGCATTTATAGCTTGAACCTGAAGTTGTGGCTTGAACACCAAGAAAGTAACAGTTGTCGCAGCAGCAGCACTGTTGTAGTCAGCTCCTTTCTGAACCTCAGTCGCCATTTTCAAAATTGGTTTTTGGGTGGTGGGTTGATTGAGGGAGGAAGGGTGCTGGCCAGCAGGGTGTGGGGCAGGAATAATGAAGGAGGGGTGGCCGGGAATAATGGTGAGGGAAGGGGTTGGTTTTGGGTTGGGTTGGGAACAAAGTGACAGGGAACCAAAAAGTATGAATTAAAGGTGTTTCAGAAGAATGAAACATGTGAGCTAATTGATAGACATAAGCCCTTCTTTTACTTCTTCAAGCCCTCTCTCTTTTGTTTATTTATTTTATTTTTAAATTTTATTATTACTATTATTTTATTTTATTTTATTTTAAAACCCAGATTGCTATGCCAGCAGATACAAGGCCAGATTAATCAATAATTATCAAAGGCTACTCTCCATATGTTGGTACTGCTTATGGAGATATCTTCACTCCAATGGCTAGACATTAAACATAATGGCAACATAACATCATAATTATTTAACAAGAAAAATACAATATTAAATGCCACTCAATACTATATGCAATTTCAACTACATATACCGTAGACTTGACATGTGTGAGATTGCTCAAAAAATAATACATGGATCAAAGAGTGTACTTTTTATAGTAAGTCAAAAACACTAAGAGAAACCACATGCATAATTTATATCAAGCTAAGGATCAGATGAAGCTTCAAACATTCAACAACTCAAAGGTTCAAATTTTACTATCAATTTCCAGAAAGGAATTCCAAGTATGCACCACTAACATAGCTTGCTGTAGACTATAATCTATCCAGAAAAGAAAGCAGCGAATGACAACTTTCATCAATATTCTGCAGCCACATATCACAAAGCACCATAGCATGCACATATTTGTCGAGCATTAGTTTTAAACCATATCAAGCACTTCTATGATGCTTCATCCAAAAACATAACTAGATCCTTGGCCAGAAAAGAGCTAAAAGATTAATCAAGTCACTTGATGAAACAAGAAGCTAGCTACAATTATATAAAATGAATAATAGACAGAGCTAAAAAGTAAGACATTAAACTTACAACATCCAGCCAATGCCAATTCCACAACAAGGAAGTCTTGGCTCCCTCAAAGGTCTTCCTTCAGCAATGACATAACCTTACCATAAAAAGGCTGGTCAATAAACACACAACTTCAACACTATATAAAGTAATTACACCAAAAAAAAAAAAAGTCCCAGGAGCTTTTCAATAGATATTCTTGGAAAGTGTTGATTTCTTGAGCATAATTATGAAATAATAAGAACAGTTTTAAGCATATCAACAGTTTTAAAATCAAAGCACCGATTTTTTTCCATATAGAAGACTCTGCTTCAGCTTAAAAGATGTTCAAAAAATACTATCCAAAGTGTTCAGTAATCCAGCATCACTTAGATTCTTCAATTATCCAATAAAACTTTCTGTTTGGGGTTCCTCTTCACCCTTCATACAATAAATTTATTTTCACATAATTTCAGTTTAGATGAAAAACCAACTATGGCTGTATGGCAATCAATCTGAATTGGGGCACTAATATCTAGACATCAACTTTATTCCATAGATAATTTCTTCATGATACAAGACTTTTTAGTTTTTATCAACAAAAAAAATAAAATAAAAAATAAATAAATAAAAAAAAAAAAGGTCAGGTAAAAAATTAAAGAAAGAAATAGCATGCTAATCAAATTGAGTATCACTAAAGCCAGAACTATAAAATTGTAATATGGGCAATGGAAAAAGAGTCATAGAGAAGCAAGATACACAGTCCTACACCCTTAGTAACTTCATATTTTATTCCCAATCTTATTTCCAATACCATGTCAAACAAGGGATGGGGAATATAAAATGAATTATGAAGTCCCATCCTTCAATTCCCACTCCCTAATCCCCGAACTCCCACTCCCATCTACCAAGCAGCCTATTAGCTTCCTTATATTTTGTGACAATGTTTCATCTTCTTAATTGCTACTCTTGCATTCTCATTCCACCATGTTGCGTCTTTGTGTGCCAGTGATTTGAGTTGATTTCTTAAGAGTTCCTTTGCACTCTACAACGCACGCCTTCACTTATAGCAAATTAGAGTTAAGAGTACTCCTTTGACACCCACCATGTCGTGTCTTTGTGTGCTAGTGATTTGAGTTGATTTCTTAAGAGTTCCTTTGCACTCTACAACGCACGCCTTCACTTATAGCAAATTAGAGTTAAGAGTACTCCTTCGACACCCATATAGCTTATTTAACAATTATATCTACCAGAGCCTTAACATTGGACCTCGTTTAAACTCCAATATCTAATTCTTAGCTCACCATGAAGTTAATTCCTTATTAGACTGGATTTAATTCAAATATAGAGAATTAGAATTTAATGTTGGGTTGCTACACTTATCTTGGGTATCACCTTACAATCAAAATAAATTTTTTAAAGGGGAGTGGGGAGAGAGGTCAGATTATTTTATTTCAATCAAATTATAGTTCAATTTGTACTCATGAGTAATTACTTAAAACAGGGAGGTGAAAAAAGTAATTTGGAGCCATCTGTAAATCAAATCAACCAAAGACTTTAGTCAATTTTGTTTATGGGTCTGGAGAACGGGTAGCCAATTTCAGCAAGATGAGTTGTGTTTCACCAGCGATTTGATACTCGTGAACCTGTTTCTAGAATGTAGGTGGGGGATGGATGATAGATAAAGGGAATATGGTGGTGGTGAATAGACAAGAGAAATGAGTGATGATGAACAAAGGTTGTGGTAGATGGAGGAGGGAGATATGGGCATGTGAAAAACACACACGTATTCAAATTAACTTAATTCTAAACAAGAAACCGAACCAATTACTTTGTTACTATAACTTCTTTATGGCACTTGTTGGCCAGAGATAATATAGGGTATACATGCTACAAGCTATACCATAAATGTACTGACCATCTCAGAGCCTCATTTTTACATCTATATTAAGTCCTTGTCATCAGAGTATGGTAATAGAGATTAATAATTCATATTATTGCTCATATGGAACAATTTCCACTATGTTAAATGGGGCTCCCAAATAAAAATAGCACTAAGCTTGCTTAGGGTCGTCACACTATCAAAATATATGTACTACCTCCGTTTCATATTAGATGCAACATTTGACTTGGTTGGAAGAAGTTAGGAAGAATATGAAGTCTACGGATCTACATGAGGATGAGGCATTTGATCACAAGGGCGGGAGGAGGAAGATTTTTGTCGATGACTACACTTTTGGTTCATATAGCCGACCCCACTTATGGGATTAAGGCTTTGATTGATTAATCGATTGATTGATTTGCAGAAAATAAATGTTTCACATTATTCACAACAAATGCTTTCTTTCCTTTATAAGTTAATTTCTCTCTATCTTTCTCCTCATCACATGCATCTCTATCTTTCTCCCTCCATTAAAAACTTACAAACATTGTTGTCTAGTAGTCCGTGCAACCCTTCAAAGTTGCAAAAAATAAGAAATAGAGGTAGTATACATATTAGGATCTTCACAAAGATTAAATTTTGCAATATGAAACATCCACCTAAACCTCCAACATAAGGTTCAAATTCAACTAAATGAAGGTTTTAAAAACATTCTACAATATCGTATCATAAATTTAGATCCTTATTCACAAAATCGAACCTCATCACCTTGTTCTTTCTTTCCTCCAATCTAACACACCTTCACCCCACCAAAATCCATGCCCAATCTTGAAATTCGCAAGGATGCCCAATTAGCACTAGCATAATCTTATTTTCACACTTTCAAGACAATTTGCAAATCCATCGATCTCATATGAAAATACAAACTCTATTCATTTTCAGTCACCATATTGTCAACTCAAATACCACAAGCCCAAAAAAAAATCTCCAGGACTGCGCAAAAAACTCGAACATTCGAGTATTGCAAGCAAAACCAAAAGCTTCCATCAACGCATATGATCAATAATTTATCCTTATCTTCATATTTCACTCCAATAAAGCTCACTATTACATTCCCTCAAACCTAACAACTACCCAATTAAAGCACAATTACACCAATCTATGCATTTACTAACACAAAGAAGATACACAATCCAACAATTATTTAGCAATAATTCAGAATTCCCACAATTATATCAAAACAAACCAACAAAATCATCATGAAATTAACCAAAGAAGATACCAGGAACAGTCTGATAACCCCGAGCATAGTAATTAGAAAGGATGGTGGCACCAGGCGGAGGAGCAGGCTGAGGGAAACCGATAACCGGCTGAGGCGGTGGTTGAGTGAAACAAGCAACCCCTTGAAACGTCCCATAATAAGGCTGTTGTTCCGGTTGAACAAGCGGTGGCGAAGGATCTGGTGGGGCAGTCGCACCGGAAGTGCTGGTTGTTCCTTTTCTGTCTTTCTCTGTCATTTTGGATTTCAATTGTCTAAATTATGATGATCGTGTGAAGGGGTTTTTTTGCCACGACTATAGAGAATTCGAGACAGCTCTTCGGGGTTACGACTTACGAAGTTACGAGTACTCCGTAATAGTTATAGACTTATAGCAGCCTTAAGCACGTTACTCCTCATGGCCTCTCGGAAGGTAGGGGTAATAATCGAACGAGTCGCTTAAGTTAGGTTCAACTTAGACAGGGCCGTAGCAAGGCCAGGGCAGGTGGGGCGACCACCCTGGCCCCCCAAACCAAAAACCCTATCTTCAGTTTAATAAAAGCCCCAAAATAATTATTTATAAAAAAAAATAACAAAAAATAAAAGAAAAAAAAGGAAGAAGCGTATTATAGCAAAACATTGAGTTTCAGTCTTTCAGAATTTCAAACGTCTTTCGCTGTTCAACCTCCTTCCTCAGTTCCTCCCTAATTTTTCTCCCAAAATATTCACTTTCCTAAGTGAAATTTTGATTAACCCAAAAAAAAAATTGTCATTAATTCAATTCTATCCCCTTTTGTTGGCGATTTTATTCTTCAAAATGTATCTCAATTCAATTTTTAGTCAGATTAATTCCTTCTCCTTCGTGATTATGATAAACGGTAATTAAATCCTTCAATTATCAACGGGAATTTATCTAATTATATATAATCCTCGTCGTATATTCTACTTTATTCATCAAAATCTTTTCTTTCTATTAAGTTTTCATAATCTTTACAATTTCTTTCTATCAAGAATTATAAAATTGGGGGGAAAAATATATATAATTCATTGATTGGTTGAATTGGTTCGTTTGATAACTTTGATTGTTCTAATTGCTTCGACCGTCGACGACGACGAGAGCTACGGCCTATAGGATCATCACTTCATCAAAATCCTAGTATGCTAAGGTTAATTCTTATTTAACTTTTTAATTTTATACTTTTTCATTCCTAAATAATCATAATGTAATTATGTAATTTTATTTTTATTTGGTTAATTTTATTAAAAAATTTTGTTTCAATTGTTTTCTATTTTTCAGATTTGATTACTTGAGATGACATTTGTTTGGAGTGCAAATTGAGCGTACTAAGTCTTTTGTTCAATTGCTTCAATAATCAGGTGTTTTTGTTCTTTTCTATACTTATTAATTTATTATTGGCTTTGTTTGATAGAATGTTGCCTAGAAAATATTTATCTGGTAATGATAAGAGGAAAAAAAGAGAACGGGCAGAAGAGTTAATAGAATCTCAAAAGGGTGCCATTGACAAATTTTTTTACTAAAGTAGTACAAGTAGAAGAGTCTTCCAATGAATTGAGTGAAGATGAAAATCATGAACAATTTAATGAGAATATAAATAATGAAAATCGTGATAATGAGGCAAATGAGCCTAATGACGATGCAACTAATATGAATGAACCAGCGAATGTACCAAATACATCCGATGTTAATGATGTTGGCATTGATCAAGTAGTCCCTCCTTTAGATATTTATGATCCTAAAAATTGGGGTAATCTTGACATTAAAGGAAGGGATATTTTGATACAAAAAGGATCTATTAGAGATTTGAACCTTGTGTTTCCAATTGATAACAAATTAAGGCATTTTTCATATGCGTATTATACTAAGAAGTTGAGTAATGGTGAGACTTTTGATAGAAAATGGCTGGTTTACTCAAAATTAGCTGATAAAGTATATTGTTTTTGTTGTAAATTGTTCACATCTCAAAATAACAAAACTCTTTTAGCAAGTGATGATGTGAATGATTGGAAACATCTTGGTGAGAAACTCCAATTACATGAGAACAGTGTTGAGCATATGACTAATATGAACACTTGGTATGAAACAAGAGTGAGATTAGAATTGAATAAAGGCATTGATAAAGACTTGCAAGAGTCAATTTCAAAGGAAAAAGAGCGTTGGAGGCAAGTCTTAATTCGAATTGTTTCTATTGTGAAAGGTCTAGCTAAAAATAATTTAGCTTTTCGTGGATCTAGTGGAAAACTTTATGATGATAGTAATGGTAATTTTTTGGGTTTAATTGAAATGATAGTTGAATTTGATTTGGTAATGCAAGATCATGTTAGACGTATTCAAAGCCAAGGAATTCACAAACATTACCTTGGTCCTCTAATTCAAAATGAGCTTATTTATCTTTTATCTCATGGTGTTCGGACTTTAATGACAAAAATAATAAAAGAGTCAAAATATTTTTCTGTAATCCTTGATTGTACCCCTGATGTGAGCCATCAAGAACAAATGACTTTGATAGTAAGATGTGTGAATGTATCAAGTGATAAAATCAAGATAGAAGAGTTTTTTTTTTTAATTCTTAAAAGTAGATGATACTTCTGGTTTGGGACTTTTTAATGTATTGTTAGATGTATGTAAGTCCCTTGATTTGGATATTGATGATGTAAGGGGGCAAGGTTATGACAATGGCTCTAATATGAAAGGGAAACACCAAGGGGTTCAAAAGAGATTGCTTGAAATTAATCCAAGGGCTTTATATATGCATGTGCTTGTCATAGACTTAATCTCACTCTTTCTAATATGGCACATTCTTGTGTTAAAGCTATTTCTTTTTTTGGAATTGTACAACATATATACACATTATTTGCATATTCCACTAAAAGGTGGAAGATTTTAGTTGACAATGTCCCGAGTTTTACTGTTAAATCTTTTTGTAATACTAGATGGGAGAGTCGAATTAAGAGTGTTAAAGCTATAAGGTTTCAATCTCCTCAAATTAGATTAGCTTTGTTGGAATTGTATAATTCTAGTGGTGATGACGCTAATATTGCTAAAACAAAAAGTGAAGCCGAAAGTTTGGCTAATTCTCTTGCAAGTTTTGAATTTTTACTTGGCATGGTAATTTGGTATGACATTTTATTTGCTGTTAACATTGTGAGTAAAAAGTTGCAATCTAAATCCATGAGTATTGGAGTTGTAATGAACGAAGTGCAAGGTATGATCACATATTTTGAGAAATATAGAATTGAAGGGTTTGATTCTAGTTTGAATACTGCCAAAATCCTTGCACTTGACATGAATATAGAGCCAACATTTCCAATAAAGCGTCGCATCACTAGAAAAAGACAATTTGATGAGAATGAGAATGACGATAATGATGAGGAAATACAATCACCCAAGGAATCTTTTAGAGTCAATTATTTTTTGGTGGTTGTTGATATTGCAATAGCTTCTTTGAAAAATAGATTTGAGCAATTGGAGGTATTTGATAACATTTTCGGTTTTTTATGCGATGCAAAAAGGTTGAAATAATTGGATAATGACGATTTAAGAAAATCTTGCACAAGTTTTATGACTACTTTTACTCATAATAATTTTTCGGATGTTGATGCAGATGATCTTTTTTTTGAATTAAAAGTGTTACAAATGACTTTGCCAAATGATTTGATGTCAGCATTTGAAATCCTTGAGTTTGTCAAAGCTGCAGATTGTTATCCAAATGTTTCTATTGCCTATTGAATCCTATTAACTATGCCGGTGACAGTTGCATCTGCTGAAAGAAGTTTTTCAAAGTTAAAATTACTAAAGACCTACTTGAGATCTTCAATGTCACAAGAAAGGTTGAATGGTCTAGCTACTTTATGTATTGAGAAAAATATGTTAGAACATATTAATGTAGAAACTATTATTAGTGACTTTGCATCTAGAAAGGCTCGTAGAAATATTTTCATATGAACGCTTAGGCTTTGATTTCAATGTTTTATCTATATGAAATTTGATGTTTTTAAAGATTATTATGCGTGATAAAATATGTATTTTTTTGCCTACCCAATTTTTATTTTATTTTAAAATATTATATGTGAATTAGGGCCCCAATTTATGTCTTCGCCCCGGGCCACCGAAATTTCTGAAACGGCCCTGAATTTAGGCTAGTTAGATTTTCATTTTAACTAGAGCTAAGTTACGAGGTTTGTCACCAGGCCTGGCCTGTTCTTGATGACTTTTTTAAAGGCTCGGGACGAGACAATAAAGTAGGGTCCTTTGTATAAGTATATTTATCTAATAATTCTAACCATGCTATGAGTTTGCCTCCAGTAGTCCCAATAGGTCAACGACGAGTCAATGACTTGTCATGTGACACGTGTCGACACGAGATTGATCCAAAATTTTAAAAATTAAAAAAAGAAAAAACCCAAACATCCCAGCCACTCCCCTCTCCACTTCCCCCACCATATAACCCTTAGCCTAACCCTTAACCCCACCTAAAACCGGCCGGCTGCCCCCTATAACCCCCTAAAACGGCCGACCGACCCCTCCCAACCCCGAAATACAACACAACGGCTGACTGGAGTACGTACGTTAATTAACAGACCAACGACAGGATCAGCACAGTCAGTGGAGAAAACGTCAACAGGCGACAGAAATGCTACGATGGCGACATTCGTCAAGGTCGATGAAGTTAACACCAATGGTGAAGGTGATGATACAACGAAGGGAGGGTAAGTGGACGAGAATGTCAGTGGAGGTGATTTGAGAGCTGAGGCTAGTGACGAACATGGCAGTGGCATCGTCGGAAGAGTTCTCAGCGGCAAGGAATTCTGGAAGAGAAAGTTGGGATTCGAAGGATTTGAGGAAGTTGAAATGGTGAGAGAATTGGGATTCGAAACGCTAGTAGATTGGTATTGGGGGGTTTTAGGAGGAGCACTTTTGGTAGGTTTGAATTGGGGGGTTTTGGGGTGGTTGTGTCCGCCGTTGATGCAACTTTCCGGGGCTTGAGAATATTTTGGGGCTTGAGATTATGGTTAATCTGAGCTGGAACCAACTTTCCGGTGAAATTCCGTCGGAGTTCTCGACTCTCACAAAGCTTGGGTGTTGGTTTGCAGGTGATTGATTGCGGTTGTATTAGTTTTGGGGGTTAGGAGTGTAATACTCCGTATTTTTATGTATTTTATAAATTATTTAATTAATTATAAAATATATTTTTAGGGCTCAAGTATTTTAATTGAATATTTTAAAGGGCTAAAGTATTTTAATTATTGAGTTTTATAAAAATAAAATATATTTTAGGCTAAACATTTATTAATTGTAGGCTAATAATCATATTAAATTAAGTACTCTTCTTTTTCTTTTCTTGTTTTTTTTCCTTTCTTTTTCCTTAGGTTAATTTTCTTTTTCTTTCTCCCCTTTGTTGTGAAATCCCCATTAATGGAAAAAGGGAACTTGCTCCCCACTTGAGGCCTGCCTTGCTGCCACCTCCCTCACGCCACGTCACCGCTGGTGACTAGCCACATGTCAGTCGGCGACCAACCACCACCGTGAGCCACCCTTCACTCTCCTCCTTGTTTAATTAATTATTTATATAATTATATGTTTTGGGTTTTTGATTTTTAATTATTGAAATATGAATCGTATGTTTTATGATTGTGTTTTAATGATTAAAGAGTATAAATTTCATATTATAAAGAGTTTTAATTTCAGATTTTATAAAGTATTAAAAGTTAGGGTTCTAATTATTAAAGTGTTGATTTTTAGGGTTCTCACTTGCAATTA